GCGGCAAGCTTTAGTTTTCGAGATATTAGCGAAAAATTGTTATTAACTTTTGAAATCAACTTCGAACGATTTTAATGTCCTTTTAATATGTTGTCAGGGGCATGGTTCTGGACAACCTTTTCCTTATGCATAATTGACGGAAAGCTTTAGTTTTCCAGATATTAGCGAAAAAAAAATTGGAAAACGAATATCCATGTTGTCTTTTACTTAATTATGTTCATGGCATTTACGCAGACAAAAAAAAAAGCCCGGAAGAACTGTCTCACAGTATCCTATACAATTCTCCCCATTCCACTAAAAAGCTTGAAATAAAATAATTTTAAGAAAAAAAATACGCCGACTTCGAAATGCACTAAAAAGTATAAAATAATTTCTGTTTCATTCAATCATACAATTACGTAACAGATATGAATGAAACCTATTTATTCGTTAAGTAGTATATTAAATACATTTCAACCTTTTCGGAGGCGGCGCAAAATTAAAAATACAGTGTTCATTCTATATAAGCAAAAATGTCCTTTCCGATATAAGTAAAAATGTTATCCCCACCACTGGGGGGAAGACCCCTCGAGACGCCCGAGGTTCGTTCGCTGGGAAATGTAACGTGACACGGGAATTAGTGTATCCGTGAGACAATACCAATGCAAATATAAAACTTTTTTACTTTTAACTTTGCTACGCGGTATTTCGCGGCTAGCTCGTTCGTTGCCCACGACCCCGCTTCGCCCGCGAATTCTCGAAACGGCCCTTCCGACCTTGCCCGCGACTACGACCGTCGCGGCGCCTCCGCGGATTCACGGGCGAGTAGCACTTCGGCGCCCGATTCGAATCTGTTCAATACCGCTTTGATTTCTTTCTTAATTGGGCGCCAGACGCGTTTCCGCGTCGCGATAAAGAACGTTACGCGAGATGCGATTCTACGGCGGAAGAGATACGGCGAAGTCAATCCCGGAAGACGCGAAAGACTCGAATCGGCGGCGGAACGGCTCGGTAGCTCAATATCCGTACGCGATGGTAGAGTGGCGAGATTCTTACAAGGTAAGGAGGCTAGACGCGGAGGCGTATTTGAGAGAATATCCCGGGATAATTCGTAAGAGACCTCGACTCAGCAGTATTCGTTAAAAGCAGCGCTGTTTATTTAAATCTAATTAATCTAGGTAATGAACAGTATGATCCCGTACCGACAACCGACTCGTTAATGCTTCGAAAATGACCGATGTCCGAGACTCACGTGATTCTAGTCCCGTAAACGGGAATTAATGCCAATTCCTAAGCGCGATACAGTCATCGATTTTCGGAGTGATTTCTTTATAGTGCTCCCACATTGGGCCGCCATTGGGTGGACGGGTTCAAAGCAAGTAGTTGCCCGAATAAGACGCGAAAAGCCCTTGGATGTTGGCATTGCGCCGCTTCCTCCAACGTCTCTTGGAAGGCAGTGCCACTGTTAATTAAGCCGCGGGCGTGGCAAGCTTCTTGGGCGGAGGTGTATACTCTGCCTTCATAAGCAAATAGGTCGTCCCAACTGCGGAAACCCTTGACGTGGAGCAGTAATATGCGAGTGGCTACCAATTCGGGGTTAGTCGGCGGCACTTGGAATATGCGGCCAGTTCGCTGCACTCGCCGTACACTGCTACGCGGTATTTCGCGGCTAGCTCGATGGTTGTCCGCGACCCCGCCTCGCCTGCGAATTCTCGAAACGGCCTTTCGACCTGATCCATTCGAAATCGAGACGTGGGAGGGCACAAGATTTGCAACGCTTTCGCGAGACTAAGATACTAAATTGTGAGCAACGCTTTCGCGAGACTAAGAAACTAAATTGTGGCTAACGCGGTACCAGTCCCCCGGTCCGTTTCAGTGACCTGCCGAGTGTGGCTTATAGGAAGATCGAGAAGCGATCTCACGATACTTCCGGATTTTCCCCAATTACTTAGCCTATCTACTAACTAACGCTCAATGCCGACACTCCGGTCACATTTTGCAGAACCAGCCGATGATTGGCACGCCCGGTGATCGACAACCCACGGTACGTTATTCTCAATTTCGAATTCTTTACAACGATATAAGGTGAGGGGCTTACCGATATGTCCGAAACTGGGCGACTAAAGGCAGGCGGCAGCGATCGATATAACACACGAAATGCTTAATGGTTGCGAAAAAAAGGAAAACTCTTGATGAGGCAAAGGCCGAATACAGAATGCTAAACCGCGTGCCCTTATGCCGGTATTCGGACACCTCGTGATCACCCCCACCGTAGGCCGAAGTCTCCGTCTTCTCGCGAAGGCATCTTCGGCAGGACCTCCTCTTGCTCCGCGACCTCTCCTCCTCTATCGCAGGTCTTTAGCGAGGAAGCGGCAGGGTAGCGGAAACTTTCTTAGGCGTACGTCGCCCTCTCGCAGGCCTTCCTCCCCTTACTCCGCTACCTCTCTTGGTCTATTGCCGGATCCGAACGGGGTAGCGGCAAGGTAACGGTGCGTTCCCTCGGCGTACGTTGTTCCTTCGCTGGTGATGACGTCGTTACCCGATGGTACATACAAAATAAAGCGGCGACAGATTCTGTTCGTACGATATATTACGTGTGCTTTGTTCTCTCTCTAGACGGTTTTTGCCCCTTATGTAATGACTGTCCGGTCCTCCTCCGAGGTTCCTTGTGACGGGTATAAGATACCACGTCACAACACTGGCGGTCCAGGTTTTTCTGCTATTATTCCACACAAAGGCTTGTGGGATGTCACGGTATAAATATTCGCGAGCAGCTGCATTCCTTGCGTTCAGCTGAAAAAATGCCGTGAGCTGGGTATCACGATTGGCTGCCATATTGGCCGCGCGACCTGCCTGACCATCAGCGAAATATACCGTACGATCGTTTCTCGTGTGGATCGTGAGCCGCTCTACGGTGTGCGAAAGGCCATACATATTGTACGCCATGAGATGCCAGTGGACCTCGGATAATCCAACGTACCGCAACGTCCGGTACCTTCTAATCTCGTTGCCAGGCTCGGAATTCACAATCTCGGCAATGTGCGCCACGTCATGACCTTTATTGATATAATTGAATATATATTTAATCACACGAACGCCGGACAGATGTTCCACATTCACGGCAGCCGAACATTTTAGCCAAGTACGGGTTGTATGGGACAACGTGACAGTTGTCGAAACGCACTGATACCTGACTGCGTGTCTTAATGACGTGACGACCGGAGTCTTAATAACGTGACGACCATTGTCTCGGCGACGATAGAGAGGATACCCGTTTAGTTGGACTTGAGTATGCTCTTGAAAAGCTTTCGGAAAGTTTTTCTTACACGTCAAGCCGCCATCGGGGGAGCATATTTCCGTGCAAAGATGCAGGTAGTTCTTGCAGATGATGTTATATAACTCTGGGTCCGGTATTTCGGCCGATATAAACCGATCGATGTACTCGGGGTCTCTGGAATTGTACGGTGGCTCGACGGCGATGATCCAACGAGAATGGGGGATTTGTCGCTTCTGCATTTCGACAGAGTACCCGTAGTATCGGCAAGGACCGAAGAACGCCTCTTTTGTCACCAAATCCTTGAAGCGCTGTTGCTTGGAGTGGAACACGCGATTGCCGATATCGGGCTTTAAGTCGCGTTTATTTCCTGGATTTATGCTATTTTCAATCTCAGGCCACGCAGGGTTGGCTGTAAATGTAACAAAGAATGTCACTGCACCAAGTTGCATGGATATGGCTAACATGTCGTGTATATTATTTAATGCATGACGGGGTCCGCTGATGAAAGATGATGGCAGCAAGACAGGTACACTGGTCTCTGGATTCGTCTGGTTCGTAAGAGAATTTCTGCGAGCGGGATTGTTGAAGTCGTCAATGTTCTGCAAGGAATCTCGGCGGAGGACAGACTGGTTCTCTTGTAACCACTGAAGTTTATCTTCTTGAACCCGCAGAGCCTTGTCCACCAACTATTGCTGGAACAACTTGCCAGTGTCGTGCAAGTACCAGGTGTATCGGAAAGTTATTACCTGTTTTTTTTTTTTTCGAAATAAAAGCTACGTAATTTTTAAGAAAATGGAATTGATTCTATACATCTTGCCCATCTTTCAGGCAATTTATGAATGCCATCCCAAAAAAACTGTTTGTCCTTTGAGCAAAACCATTCATCGAGCCATTCTCTAACTTGTTCGAAATTGGCGAAGTGCTCCTCTGCAGATGCGTGTCCCATTGATGCGAAAAGTTAATAGTTGGACGGCGCAAGGTCTGGAAAGTACGGCGGGTGTGGTAATATGTCCCATCCAAGTGCTTTCAATGCTTCCTTGACCGGTTTTGCTGTATGAGACGGCGCGTTATCGTGCTGTTTTCTCTATAGTAATGTAGGGAACTACTCACTGCTCACGTCCACTTATGTTTATTGTAGCACTGAGGTGCACGCACTTATATTTAACGTTAGGTTTGGTCAATTTTAAATCACATGCGAGAACGGTTGGGTCATTCAGGTTGTGTATCTCATCCAATAGTATGTAATCATACGTCTTTTCAATAGTTGTTAACTCCAATAAAGCCCTCCCGTAAGTCATTAACATCAATTTCCTGTTTCCACATCCTACTTCCTTCGTCGCCACCTGGTTTCTCTGTCTTATTACATATTTGACATAGTACACATGTTCTTTGTCTGTGGTTAACCCTAATAATTCCGTTAACCTATTGCAAGCTTCCACCACAGCAGTAACGGTAGGCTGCAGCAGGAGTACCTCGCTGTTGGGCTGACACACTTCCATTAGGTTCTTGGTAAAATAAATTGTTTTTCCAGTTTCTGTCGGTGCTACACACATGAAATGAGTTATAGGTTGACTCAACGCTGTGTTAGCCACCTCAGTTGCTGCGGCTCGGAATTCAGCACTCGGAACTATTTCAGGCCTAATATCCGGTGCCATTATAGTGATAGCGTTCACACTCTTTTCAGATGCTGTTTCTTTACCAAGTTGGGGTATACTCCTCCTCTCGATTTTACCCAACCCATATATTGAAACTAACTTCCCTTGCGCATTGAATATTGGGCACCCCGACATATCCGAAGTTCCCTTCCAACTACTCGGCAATACTTTGGTGAAGTGTGGGTCAATCACAACTTCTGCTTGCAAATTCACTCTTAACCCTTTGCGCTTGGATTAAATTTGGAGATGGGTATCGTACTGCTCGGAATTAATTTCCGTCGATAGAGCAGGGATACATAACACGCAAGTTTAGGATGTATAAACAAGATTTAGTAATTTTTTTGTGAACTTTAGATATATCTTTATTCAATACACTCATCTAGTGATATGTTTTTGTAAAAAATTATGTTTTATAATTCTCCTTCGTGTGATATTTTTCAAAACACTCCAACATGTAGGCCAGGTTTTCGAGTGCATGTATCGCAAAAATAATTGGTTTGGTGCCTTCCACCCTTAATCTTTCTGTTTGAACATACAGTGCAATCTTTACTTTTTACATTTTGGCAATGCCGCAATATATGCAGTTTTCCATTCAGTCTGTCATTCTTATCGGAGGTCGATGGTCTTCCTGGTTTTGAATCTGCTCCGTCACGAAAATCACCTACCAGTTGTGCCACCAATTTTCGGACGAACATAAAATGCGGCATAGGTTTTCTGCTCTCCCTTCTAGCTGACATCTTATATAAAATATAACTATTTATTGCAGAAATCTCTAATCCCCAGAAAAAAA